CTTCTAACTACCATGACCCCCTCAACCTGAATGCCAAATTCGATCACTTCAACAGTAATAAGCGTACCTTTTTACTGCCTATGTGTCTGTCTGTCCCTTTTACATCCGTGAATCACTCTTCTTTCCCCCTCTCGAATGTTTCACTATGATGTTCCTACCCCCTGTGAAGTACGAAGTAAACTAAAGGGTTAATGATAACTATCAAAACGCCTGCCATTTGAAATAATTAAAAAAATAAAGATTTCAATGTTCAACTTTAAGATGAAAGACAAAATGACCTCAGCGGTCCTTAGGATCAAACATAAATCCATTATATAATAATTTTATAATTTAAATAAATTATTCTTCCTAGACATTATCGTAGTCCTGCAATAATTAGACAAAAAATTTGCTAAATCTCATCTAGAATCCCGCGAAGGAATACTCAACCGACTGTATACCGAAATTTCATTTTTTCAAATTCAGTCGTAGAAAATTACATAAATAATTAAAATATTTTGAAAAATAACTGTACATTGTCACAGTAATTTATTCAGTAATTTATTATCTAGTATTATTTTCGTTCTTTACATGCCACCTAGTATTGTGTGCGAACGCAAAATTCACCAATATTTCGTTCCACAGAAAGTGGAAATAATATTCGAGAGGAACCGTATTTTTTTTTGAAAGAAGTCAAAGTAAGCTTAGTTGTTCGGAAATTTTCTAAAAAATATTATTTGAAAAGCCCTCAAACAACTGAGCATGATTATCAGCAAAGAAATTCAAAATTTGGAAGATTTGACAGCAAGCTCGTCTTATTATGCCCCCTCCCCCTCCCAAAAATTTCACTAATTTGACTTGGTTGTAGTATCCTGGCTAAGAGACCAATTTTCACCTAATCATTGTCCGATAATAAGTAGTAATGAGAATGACAAAAACAGCTGAAGAGATGGCATATATTACCTTGCAAGTTATTATTAACTTTAATAAGGACATAAAGCACAACACCAAATAATAAGATAATTTCGTTTTTGTTGAAATGAAAGTGCTTGTTAACCAATTATGGGAAACAATTGTACATTAAAATTAATGCTCACCCCAATTAATTCAAGATTTACTACTATATGCTTATTCATGACAATTCAACTTGATTATTTTTGGTCAAAAGTTGAGGTGGTTGCACGTGAAGTCCTCGTGAAAAGGTCATGGAATAGCCTCCTTTCATCCAGATCAAGTTCTACAACCCCCATTCAATTAACGAGCTCTTAACTAAATCTACGTACTATTAATTAAAAAAATTGGGACCCCTCCCCACAAAAAAATTTCGTTTAATCGAAAAGTACTTTGGCATATTTTCTTCTGCAAAGATTAAATTTGTTCAACTGAATCTGTTTTAGTGGTTATGATTTACATGGATACCATGTGCTTCTTATAAGAATAATTATATTCAACAGATATGCATTATTACTATTTTAATACTAGATAGTAATTAAAAACCAGTTGAATGCAACGTTATGGTGGCAAGCTTACTTCAGTACACAAAATTTCTCATATAGGTAATTGATGTTCAAAAAATTAAAATAAAAAATAGTATATCTTTATTTCAATAACCAAAGTGTTTCTTTTTTGATAATCGGTACCCACTAGCTCAATTTTTTTTATAAAAAATGACCATCAATTTTTTTCTTTCTCTCTATTTATTAAAAAATTAATAAGGCGCTTAAAACAAATTCAAATGGATTTCCTTTAGGTTCTCGTATTCAAAGAACACAAAGTTTATTTATTAAGAATATTGATTATTGGAAGTTGAATGCGACTTTCCATTTATAGATCCAGTTCCTATTTAAGGTTTAAGAAAAATTCAATTTTATTGGGAACTCAATAATGTTGCTAAACTCGACACTCAGTCTGTCAATTGTTCGGTTTTTAATGGTAAATTTAACAAAATATATTTAATGAAACATTGAAATTTTTTAAACTTTCAACACATCTTATGAAACTCGAATGACTTTTCATATGATGATGTTACAGATTTTAACTCATTTGACATCGCAAATAACCCTGTTTGGAATCGTCTTTGTTATACCAAAGTGTGATTTTATTATATATAAAACCAATGCAGTCTCCATCTCTGCTCAAAGCCTGCTAATGCGAAAAGCAATTGAAAAAGGCCTAAAAAGACTTTTACTAAATCCTTTTGAAAGTTAATCGATTTAGATATAATTTGCTTAAGCTAAAAGTAAGTATTATGTTGCAAATTCAGTTTTAATGAAAAAGAGGATTAGCCTAAATTTAATTAGGAACTAGTTATGAAAATATACCATTAGTTACGATTTGAATTAAGAATTCTGTTTGACTGAATTCCAACAAGGGGTCGAAATTATTTAAATCGGGAAATAATTTCATCAGACAAAAATTCGTTTTTACGAAATTATGTTAGCTTCAGAGAAAAATTCGATTTTATTAAGTAATGAACATTTTCATCGAAATAAACTTTTATTCAGGTATTGACATTTTTGAAAGTTCAGCAACTATTTCATCAGAGTTTAAAACAGATCATGCCTGAATTTGTTGTCATGTAGTAAACCAGATGGAAACATCTGAGGAACGTGTATATAGCAAAATTTGGAGAATTCTCATCCTCTAAAGCACCTGAGTTGAAGCGATAGCAACTTTTGAACAAAATTTTGAATAAATTTATGAAAATGGCTTTGAAATATCAAACTTTTTTTCACCACCATGCTGGATTCTGAAATTCTTTCAGTAAATATTCGACTTTTCCAATGAATAGGCATTTGACTGCATTAATCAATGCAATAAACCGGCTGTTATGTCGGGTAATAACTCCATAATAAAAAGCAGTCAATGTTGCTCTAGTCGTGTGAACTTAATTTCATATTTATATATATATATATATGTTCGTGTCCAACAGACAGCAACAGTGAGACTCACATGATTCTGTTTTATCACCCATGAATTCGGCAGTGAGAAATTGTCGACACAACATTGTTTTGCCAACTGTTGGTCCGCCTAATATTTGCACTTTAACAGGGACGGCGATATTTGTGAGACTATTCGTAGAGGATGGAATGAGGGCTGCAGGAGAGTGATTGACAACAAATTGCTCGTCCACCAATGCTGCAGTTGGTGTTTCACCACAGGCGGTTGAATGCCGTTCTTTTCTTCCAGAAATTTCCGAATAGCATTCAGAGTTCTTTTTGCTGCGGCAAAGTGAGACTTTGGCAGAAATTGCTGAGGTTCGTGGCAGGTTATACCCACGGCTACAGTTGGTTGTACTCCGTGACCGGAAACTGTCACCCTATCAAAATAGAATCAAACTAGACATACTCATTAGGACTCAAACTTTATTTTTTACATCAGTCCTACTATGCTATAATTATTATTTCAATGTATGGTGTTTTTTAAGAATTTTGAAAGATAAATTGTTATTTGTGCAACAGGACAATTGACAGTAGACATTTGTGGGGACGGAAATTGCCTTGAGCAACTATAAAATCGTTAACTTTTCGCATTTAGTTTATTGAGCTCATTGATCAATCGATGGATTTCATTTTCAAATGTGGAAAATAGAAAATTACTTTTTTGATGTGTGTTGCACCTTTGATGTATAAAATAAATATAATATTGGGCGATATTAATTTCTTCAAAATATGTACATCAAAGCAAAAGTTGTAAAGCCATTGGTCTTAAAATTTAAAACAATTAAATAGACTCTTTCCATATAGAAAAGAGGCGTTGGCTAAACAAGAAATTACGTTGCCATAACTAGTGGGATAACTACTTTCTTTTTTTCATCGAAGTGGTAATTAAGTTCCAAAAAAATTTATAAATAGACAATCAACTTAATTGGAACGTCAATTCAGAGTTTGTCTGAGTTTAAACAAGTACATACAAACCTTTTTATTTTAATGAGATTTCAAACTTTTTTTTGGAGATTATATCACAAACTAACGTCTGGTTGTGCGTCAAGGAAATGATGTGAAATTTAAAAGTAATAGAAATCTGCGCGAACTTTAAAATAGAATCTACAGACTTTGATTAGCTAAACAGCTTAAAATAAGCATACTTAATTACATATATCTGAGATCACCCCACCATATTAAGAAAGCTCGAAATACTGATTGACTCAAAATTAAAATAGTTGTCTTTATTAACAGGTAAGTCATTATCGTGCATAGATTTTGAGTAATTTGCAAATTTGGTTGCTCTACAAATTGTGAATGCTATTTCTTTTAATTAACTTACTCATAAATCAAATTTTATCTCGATCTGCTAGTTAAAATGGCCGTAGAGCGTATATACGCACATAAACAAAACATTAACCAAACAAGTTGTTTTATTAATGGCAGTACTGCTATTGGCAACTTTATTTAATTAACTTTAAGTGAAAATGAAATTTAAAAGTGAATAAGAATATTTACTAAATAATATAATGGACGAAAAATAGGTTTTAAAGGAATGTTATAGGTCATTAATGTAAATATAGGAAAATTCAACTAAATATTAAGGTCTCCGAAAGTCGGAGACTTAAGGCAGGTATGATCGACACAACGCTAATGAACAATAAAAACTTAGTTTAGATAATCGATTTTTAAAAAAAACCTTGATCTCTTAAAGAGTCGTATTTATCGTTTGCAAAGCCTCTTAAACGTTATAAACTTTTTTAATTATGGTTATCAAGGAAATTTGAATTGAATGGGCTATTGCTGAAAATATCCTTTGCATGAAGACGATGAAAACAAATTTCTACAATTATAATAAATAATTAAAATTAATAGCTTAAACTCACCAAACTAATAAGTCCTTTCGAAGTTCTTTTGAAGCTTCGAACTCGATATAATTCTCTTTCATATTCTTCTTCATCTTCAAAAGATGGATCGCATTGAACGCGTACAATGGGAACCGGTTGGGGAACATTAGCAGGAGCAGTATTCAGAGCTGCGGTACTCTTCGTCTTCATGGTTTGATCGGAACTTCCTGAATGCCGAATGCGTAATTCTCTATGCCGTTGAGATGATCGGAAGCGAAACATCTCCCTTAGTTTTAGAGTTTTGCTATCACCGGGCATTTTTACTTACTAGTAGGTTGGTAATAATATTCACATGTTCAATTGTCGGACGGGTGGACTGTGGGTTTTACTCAAGCAGACTAAAGCGCGTGTTGATTGGATTAATTTTCTGTTCAACCAATGAAAGCTTAAATATTCTCATTGGACTATCAAGAACCAATCTTTGTTCGGAACAGGAACCACTTATTCACTATTATATTTATTAACCATAAATTTACGTAATAATTGACAAATAATTAATATAATCGGTTTGGTTATTTAATAAATGAAATGCCCTATACTTGCAACAGTTGCTTTCAATAATTTCCATATTTTCGAAATTTGAATTTTGGGGTTTTGTTTAAATTTATGAAGCAGTCTCATTTAATAGAATGAAGATAACCATTATTATTGAACTATGTCGGTTACATTATTTATCCTTATAATCATGTTTTGACATTACGTAAATTTATCATCGCCTCTATTTATCACGATCCTTGTCTTGAATTTTACCTAAAATTCGTGGATTTGTTGTCAAATGTTTTTCAAACATGTCATTACAAAAATGTGTCTTGAAATTAGTGAAATAAAATAAGTTTTAGATGAATCAGTGCAATAACAAAGAAAAACTTTTCATTAGAATTTATTTGAAATAGGTTTTTCTTTCATAGGAATTTTTGTTATATCTTAAGTCATATAGATTGTTGACGGCAATTATTTTTAAATTTAATAAAGTGTGAAATTAGTGTATATTTATTTGTTTATATGAAATGGCAGGCTTTATGATAGTTATCATTAGCAGTTTAGTTGACTTCAGGCTTCAAAGAGGGAGAGGAACATTAAATCGAAAAAAGTCGAGAGGGGGGGGAGGGAAGAGAAGAGTGTT